CGTTTTTTCATAAATCTAAATTTGATCGAATTCAAGTTAATCTAGCCTTTATAATCCGATTTGTAATGATCTGGCAAGTCCATATGTCGTACAATACTCCCTCCGTTTCTGATAAAATTTCTAATATTTTTCATTTTGAACATCCCAAAATAAATTTTTATTTTACTTTTTGGTAAAGAAATCGTGGCTCGCATCAATTCCCACGCATTTCACCCCCTTCTGCACACTTATCCACCAAACTATACTCAATATTGTAATTCTCGTGCAAATGTACTTTGGAATTTAATTTAAAGAAAAAACAACTAGTACATTTTAATATGATTTCATCTCACCCAATGTAAAATCACTCGAAATAATAAAATCCAAGTCATTAATAAATCATAACAATAAGAGCCCTTTAGTAACCTTGAAATCAATTGAATTGACAGATTCAACCGAAATGTATGAAGTTGTGTGTGAAGTGGATGTATTGATTTATTCTGCTGATTTATGAAAAAACTATATTTAAAATATATTTTATTGATAAAAAAAATATATGAAAAGTTATCTAAAATGATTATTCACAACAACTTTAATCAATACAGTCGTGAAAAAATTAAGCATTTGATTAAAAAATTGATTGATAAGTCTCATAAAGAATGTCTCCAAACGAGTTATATCTTTTTCCGGGGGTTTAATGCACCAAACCCCCCTGTGATTTGGAAATTCGGCGCATTAGCCCCCTGTGATTTAAAAAATGCGTCAAACCCCCCTGTGTTTTAATTAATCATGCGCCAAATCCCTTATGTGAACAAATTCAATTGTCAAATAAAACAAAAATGATTAACATTTTTGTATGATTCAGATATTCTGACATATTTATTTGCATATTCAATCAAAATATTAGGAAAAATGATTTTCAAATCGTTAAATTTATTTATAAAGGGGGTTCTGTGCATGATTAATTAAAACACAAGGGGGTTTTACGCATTTTTTAAATCATAGGGGGCTAATGCGCCGAATTTCCAAATCACAAGGGGGTTTGGTGCATTAAACCCCTTTTTCCGGTGGGTTGGTTATGATAGAAAAACACTATGCATGACAGTATGCCATACTAATACTCCGTATATAGATGGGGAGTTTGATTATGATAGAGGCGTACGCAGGGTTAGAGGCAAATCACAGCAGCTTTTAAGCTTCCACACAGTACTTAGCATACCTTCATCATCATATACTACGTCCCACTCCTGCCTAGCTTCAGCTACACTAGGTCCCTCCCGGAGGCATCAAACTACATTATCGCGCTTCTCATATCTATTACTCCGTATTTTTCATCTATCTCGTAGAACTTTCTCTACACGGGGATTAAAGGAGGTTTTACTCCAAAATAAGATGTCTCGTTGTCGTATTTGTTTTGATACAATCAATAATATGATGATTCTAAAATCAGTTATAATTGTGATTTGAGTAAACTAAGAGGTTGTTTGGTAACATTGTTTGTTTGGTTTATCAACCAATTTTTTCATCAAATACATAACTTTTGTTTTCGCGCGCTGAATTGTGTAATAATAAAAAAAAGTAAGGTTGTAGTTACATTTTCTGACTAGATTGACTGAAATTATTGTGGATGACCATTTTAGCTATTCTTACTTATAACTTTTTCTTTATTTTATTAATAAAATATGTCTCAAAAATATTTTTTCTTGAACCAATAGAATCATCTAATGCAATTGTTTTCAGCCAGAACTTCACAAATTCCAACCGAATAAGCTGATTTTCGAATTACCAAATGGGCTCCGAAATAAAATTGGGTTGGAGAGTTAGAGCCCGTTTGGTAGCACTAAAATCGGCTGTTTTGGTTGATTCTGCTGAGATTTTTGAAGTTCTGGCTGAAGTGGATGCATTGGCTGATTCTACTGATTTAAGAATAAATTATTTTTAAAATATATTTGATTAATAAAATAAAGAAAAACTAATGTGTAAGAATAGCTAAAATGGTCATCTACAGTAACTTCAGCCAATACAGCCAGAAAAGTAACTTCAACCTTACTTTTTCGGCTTATTAAACAATTCAGCGCACGAAAACAAAAATTATGTGTTTGATGAAAAAACTGACTGATAAGCCTCATAAGCCGAAAAACAGTGTTGCCAAACAGCCTCTTAGTTCTACTTTCCTACACGCGAGACAAGACACGGGATATGTAGTTTTCTATATTCATTGAAAAATTCACTTGTTGTCGAGTAATTAAATGTTTTTATTTGGACCTTTTCTTGTCACATAAGAGACCAAAGTTGAATATATAGATAAAATCAGATTTAAATAAACAAAATTCCATAGTTATAAAATATATATAGATCAGTTATTTATTAGATTAGATCCAACCAAACATATATATATCATATCACACAATCAAATTTCTATTCAAGTAATACTCCATAACTCCTAAGTGATAATAGGGGTCACGGGCAAATGCGGGAATCTAAGATCACGTTTGGTAGCACGAAAATCATCTGTTTTGGTTGATTCTACTGAAATTTATGAAGTTCTGGCTGAAGTGGTTGCATTGTTTGATTCTGGTGATTTAAGAAAAAATTATTTTTAAAATATGTTTTATTAATAAAATAAAGAAAAAAGGGAAAACTGTCAAATAGGTCCTCGAACTTTCATAAAAAAGTCAATTAAGTCCTTCTATAGGAGACTTTGTCCGGTCGTCGCGATTTGGGGGGGTTCCTGGTGGAATTGTTTGATGAAATTTTTTGAGCATCTTATTCATCAAGTCTAGTTTACTCATACCAAATTTCAACTAAAAATTTAATCGGGAGCGCATTCAAATTAGTTCGAGAACGCAAAAATTCGCAGTTATCTTCAAGAATTAATTTGAATGTGTTCCCGATTGAATTTTTAGCTAAAATTTGACATGAGTAAACTAGACTTGGTGAATAAGATGCTCAAAAATTTTCATCAAATAACTCCACCGGGAACTGCCCCAAATCGCGACGGCCGGACAAAACCTCCAATAGAAGGACTTAGTTGACCTTTTTATGAAAGTTCGAGGACCTATTTGACAGTTTTCCCAAGAAAAAATTATATTTAAAAATAGCTAAAATGATCATCTACAGCAACTTCAACCAATACAGTCAGAAAAAAATTTCAACCTTACTTTTTCTGCTTATTACACAATTCACCGCGCGAAAGCAAAACTTACGTATTTGGTGAAAAAGTTAGATGATAAACATAATAAGTCGAAAAACAGTGTTGTCAAACGACCTCGAAGTTGGACTCAATGGATGAGTAAACATACTACGTTTTAAAATAACGATTTAGACTAAATATCAAAAAATGGAAAAACATACTCCGCAGCGCTATGTAATTCGGAGCACCAGGTAACATATAAAGTTTGGAAAAATATTTTTTAGACCTGTTTTTCCAAGCTCAGGAGCGGCCCTGTATCTTCGAAGGTTTAGGGGCGGCCGTAAATTAAAATGAGTTAATGTTACAAAAAATTGCAGAACTGTTTCTATATAAACTGCCATTGCATGCATAATAATTATAATACCGGAGTAATAATATTTCAAGACATTCACAAAAAATTATGAAACCCTATTATCTCTAAACATACTACAGTATTGTTGTTCCTTACGGAAACCCTATTAACTATACTATTATCACCTTCTAAGGAATATATGAAAGCAGCACCGATAAACCGCTTCACTAATACGGAGTATTAGTTAATTTAATTAGAAACGTAACTTGAATTTTACTTTGATTTAATTACTAAAGAATACTCCATATAGCACATAACAAAATCAAAACTTCAATATTGTGTAAAAATGACTAATACAATTTCAAAAGGTGAAAACAACATCATCAAATCAGCTCCAACTCGATATTAAATTATGTCCACCCCATTGATTTGGTTTGTAAAACCACTTTTGTTACTCTATTGAGCATTAGAAGATATTCGAGTGTGAGTAAACGAATAAAAATTACCTTTAACGGCTCAAAATGATTTTTAGAAGCAATTTTGTATGAATTGGGGCAACAATTTCTGAAAAGTTAATTACGGAGTATAATTTTACTGTACTAGTTCTATTAAAAAATGCAAATCTATAATTAAATCCAAAACTCCTTAATCACCATTTCATATTGGCTAAAGAGACATTCTCAACGGAAAAAAGAGCTCAAGTACTTAACTTTGTATAACTTGTAACTTCTCTCCCGTTACATTTCAGAAATGCCTTGCCACAAAATTGAAAAAAGAGAAGTTATTTACAAATCATAGGGATTATCAAATTTGAAATACTGCGTAGTAAAATTTCTGTAAACAACTTAAAGAGGAAAAATGTGCATTATTTTCCCTTATATTATTTTCATTCTAGGAAAGAAATTGTAGCAGTATCTTTTCATTTTTGGTCATAGGAAAGAAAATGCAGCAATATCTTTTCATTTTTGGCCATTAATCTTAAACCCACTAAATTATCGGGATTTAATATTATACCGAGTATACTTTATGACACAAATATTGTTGTCCGACCAGACCTGACAGGATGGTTCACCACCTCAATTTGAGGTGGTTCCCAGTGATATTTCTTTCTGAATTTTTCTGTATATGTTACTCATCAATTCTAGTTCATCCATACCAAATTTGAGTAAAGAATTTAATCGCGAAGACCGTCAAATAATTTTTGAAATATAACTGCGTTTTATATGTATATTCCGGACCAGTTATCTCTCTTATTTCTGCAATAAAAACATAAAAATCTTATTTTTTTAGTTTTTTTTACTTCTATTTAAAAAAATCCCATTTTTATTCCAATGAATGTATTTTGGTAAATTATGTTTGCGATAATAAACAAATGGTTAACTATCACAAAATTCTTCTGTAGAAAAAAACCTATCACAAAATTCTTCTGAAATGCTTCGTGTGATTAAACAATCCACTGGCCCCACCACAACTGTGGGGCCCTTTCTGTTTTTGTTCTATTTCACCGCCAGGAAGAAGAAACTCCGCACTTCGTCTCTTCTGTTTCTTTCTCCAGCTCCTCGTTTTTTCTCCACTCAACAATGTCGAAGTTGAATCCCTCAGCTCATGAATACTTCCCGAACGCGATTTCTCCTCCCATCGTCACCTACATGCCGCATATGATCTACCAAAACGTCCGTTTCCCCTCGCCGCCGGCGTACGCCGTGTCTCCGCCGCACGCCGTGGGTTTCTTTCACTGTAATCCTTACTCCGGCTACTTCGACGGCGGCGTCGCAGCCATCAAGAAGGTCGCACGGCCGGCAGGTGGGAAAGGGCAGATCAGTCTCAAGAGCTTTTTCTTGCCTCCTAGGTTGCAGGGAAAGTGCAGAAGCTTCAGCTTACCCAAAAAGGTCGTGAAAACTAAGATTTGGAAACCGGTGAAGGCGAAGTCCGCCGCCGTCAGAGACGCCGTCAGCGACGGACCCTCTTTATCTCCGGTGGCCGGGGATACCACCGTGATGATCAGGAACATCCCGAACCAGTACAGGTCAACCATCTATCTCTATCTTGCTCTCCGGAATCATTTCAAAAATGGGGTTTACATTTCCGATCATCTTTCTCTGCCATTTCCTCTGTTTATCCCTAAAAGCAGCTGAAAAGGCACGAAGGAGGAAGTTAATGCACTTTCCCTTCACTGTCTGTCCCTTTCCCCGGAAATGTAACCGTACCCAAAACATCTTTGTCATTAAGTGTTTATTTTCCCTGTTTTTATTTTTGTATTCATCTGAGCATATTAATTGCCATATCATAAATCATTTAATAACAAACCCTTCAATCCTTCAATCAAATATTAATATGGTCATGATTGGGCAGGAGGGGAAGCTTTATGAAGTTTCTGGATCGGTACTGCATAGAGAATGATCTTGCATATGATTTCCTCTACCTTCCCATGGATTTCAAGTATGTTTTTTTCTTCCAGAATCTTTGTTGGGTGTTTTTAAAATCAAACATAGTTGCAGAAATGATTGTCTTTTTTGGTGTTTAGGACGGACAACAACCTTGGGTATGCTTTTGTGAACTTCACCACCGCAGTCGGCGCTGCTAAGATCACAGAGCTGCTAAAGGATTATAAATGGGGTATTATCAGGATGGAATCTGGGATCTTCACTTCAAAGAAGATATGTGAAATTAGCCCTGCAAAAATCAAGGTAAGTTGATTTTGTTCATTACAGTAAAATCAATGCTCCTTATATGATTTCGATCCTTTTCTCCATGACCTGTTTTACATATTCGAGAGATGAATAAAAGTTGAATAAATGGCAGGGGAAAGATGCGCTGGTCGACCATTTCCAGGACTCAAAGTTCATATGTCGAACGACTGATTACCTGCCGGTGAAGTTTTCTCCGCCGCGAAATGGGTGGCCGGGCTGTTCGGAGCCACAGACGGTGGGAAAGCTGGTAGGCCCGTTCGGGTATCATTAGATCAGTGCAGGGCTATAGCTAGGAAAGGATGATGAAGAATGGGCCTGTGTTTTAGTTATCAACCTGGGTTGAGGATGTGGATTATCCAGGGTGAAATGGAAACATGGGATCATATATGAACTGCTTCCTTCTCTTTTTCTTGTTGATTTTAATGCTGTAGTTCTGTAATATTAGTATGTAGAAGATTTGCTTTGTCTGGCCAGTCATGGCGGCCGGAGTAATCTGATCATGTATGAGACCGCCGTGTAGGTTGTTTGTTTAATCTACTTGAATCGTTAATGGATTGTTAATGATCGTGAAAATGTTGTTTTAGTTTTAGGGTACAAACAAACAAACTAGGTTGTTGTTGTCACATAGTATTTGCACGTACAAAGGGTGGGTTTTGTTCCTGAGGACAAAAGTGAGATTTTTAGTACTACGTATGTAGGAAATAACTTGGGTACAAAATTTTGAATAATTTATACAATCGATTACATATTTTTTTTAAACAATGTACATACTCCGTATAAAATTAAGAAATTACAAAAACCTACAAATAGCTTGCGGATAAAAGTCTTTTTAGCAGATCAGGGCAATAATTTGTTTTAAAAAACTTGTGCGAACTTGAGCTTGTTTGTAAACTCAGATAAATATTCATGTATCCTTTAAATAGGACTGAAGCATTGCAAACTCAGATAAATATTCATGTATCCTTCAAATAGGATTGAAGTATACGTAATTTGTATTAGCTCATCTTAAATTGATTCGCAAATTTAACTTTTTTGATCAAATAGTTTCATTTTATTCACTTAATTAGGATGTACATTTTTACTTATATTCTAATTTGGGATTTGCAACTTTAAAGAGATTTTAATGTAGATTTTTAATATGTAAATTTTAATTATTAAAAATTGAATTAACTATCGACAAGGAGGATTGACTTTTATTATTATTTGACTAAAAAATGCTGACTTTGCAAAACAATTTGGGAGGGAGGAAGTAGTATATATAAAATGTGCAAATAATATTTTTTTATTTTGTACCATCTCTCATTTCTCATTTCCTTTTCATTAACGAGGGTTAAATAATTTTTCCATTTTTTATTCTCTTATTGTTTATAGTAAAAAAAGAATTCATATCATTTAACATACCGTTTTTTTCATAATAATTTAAATTTAAATTTTAATACAAGTCACTATGATTCTATTACTACTTTTCCATTTAATCATATTTGTGTAAACAATTTTAATTTTAATTATATACGAATTATATATGTAATTATTTCTTAACATAATGACGTTGTTTGTTTATTGATGCTTTGTGGCCAAACTGCTGTTAATACCCGTGTTTTGCTTCATTAAAATAACGGCGTTTTGCTCAAAACGTTGGTATCCAAACACCACCATGACAGAGCAATATGAGAGAGCATGAGTGAAAAACCCTAGCAGCTCTATTCACCCATCTTTCAAGATTGTTAGTTGTCATCTTCTGTTTTGCTTAAACAATGTCTAAAAGATGGTTTGGTGCACGCATGATAGAGTAGTGTTTTGTTCCCTAGTGTCTCTAGGATTTTTATTAGAAATAATGGCAAAAGTACTACCACCGAGTTCTACGTGGACAACAATAAGACCGGTCTTCAATTTGGACAATAATAAGACTACACATTACCCAATTGACTAAAATACCCCTAATTGAAAAAGGAGACCCAGATGGCCAGATCCCCCTGATCGATCCCAGCGATCCATGCCATAAGCTCCATCCATAGATGCGACTCCTCCATGCCCGTCAGGCCGTCACCACCGTCTCCGTCCCATTACGCCGCCGCCGCCGACTCCAACGACGTCCCAGGTAAGCTTCTCTTCTGTTGTTTTTCTCTTCTGGCTGAACGATCGAGGATCCATGGCGACGGCCACGGCGATATCGTCTCCAATAGCTAGGGTTTCAAAATCGAGCATGGTGACGACGATTCAGCTACGATTTTGACGTAGCGGCATGGCAGCTAGGGTTTTTTGGGCGTGGTCTGGGGTTTAATTTGCTGGGGCTGGGGAGGGGGCTGCCTGGGCGATTGGGGAGGGGGCTGCCTAGGCGATGCTGATCATCGCTGGGGAGGATTGGTGGTGTGAGGTGGTTGCAGTCTTGCAGGGGTGGGGGGGCGGGAGTGGTGGCCGGTAGCTGCGGCTGCGGCAGTGCTCGGGAGATGCGGTTGCAGGGGATTTGGGGGTTGGGGTATGCTGAAGAAGGGATTGTGGTTTGGGATGAAGACATGTCAGGGAGGCTGGCCGCTGGAGTGAGGGCGGTGGCGGGTCACCAATTCACCGGCGGTGGTGGCTAGTGGGGGGTGGCTGGCAGTGGTAGCTAGTGATGGTCAAATAGTGTAACTGGTCGGATAACATATACTAGTATTTGTAATCATATCAGTCGTGTCAGGTAACTGTAACTTGTCGGGTTGGTAAATGCAAATGATGGTCGGGTAAATGTAACTTATCAAGTTTGATAAATGCAATTGGTTGAGTAACTCTAACGGATCGAATTAAGTAACTGTAACTGATCGGATTGAGTAATTGTAACTGGTCAAATTTGATCAATGTAAGTGATTGAGTAATATTAATTGACCGGATCTAGTAACTGTAACTGGTCGAAATCCGATAGCTGTAACTGGTCAGATTTGATGAATGTAACTGGTCGGATTTGATTAAGTAACTATAACCGGACGAATCGAGTAACGGTAACTAGTCAGATGTGATGAATGTAACTGGTCGGATTATATTAAGTAACTGTAACTGGACGGATCGAGTAACTGTAACTGGTCGAATTAAGTAATTATAACTGATCAGAACGAGTAACTGTAACTGATTAAATTTGATCAATGTAACTGATTGAGTAACATTAATTGATCGGATCAAGTAATTATAAATTGTTACCGATGAACTCTAATCGAGGATTAATAAATTTTTTTTGACAGAATTGAGGATTAATAATATAAAATCAAATAAAAAAAGTTTGAACATGGTCTGGAGGATGACATGCCACGATAGGTGATACGCCGTTCCATTAGCTTGCTGCGATTTAGGAACACACGTAGACACGCAGGGCATATTTGGTATAATCATTCTTAGTTTTTAAACGATAGAGGCGCACCGTCAGTTTTTTGGTAATTAGGAAAAGAAGACTTATATTTGTCCAAACCTCTTTAATTAGTAATATTCATGAACTAACCCCTTTTTATTATCTACTATCAACTTTGATCGTCACTTTATGAGGGATTTTTATAAAATTAGCAACGCAAGTTGCTACAAGATGCTATATTGTAGTTTAATTGCGATTGAAGACACTCTTCCGGACGAGATCTACTTTTTCACCGAAGACATTTTTTTTGTCGAATCGTCTATGACGTTGTCGATGAATTGTCCCCTCCCGAACCACCACCATTGATTGGAAGAGTGATTCTATATTTTTTTCAAATTGATGCATTTCATTTTGGAATAAAATCTTTTGATGTTTTGTCGAGCGTGACATATCGACAAATCTACTAGAATCAGGTGAGGGCACTACGACTACATGATCATAAGAGGATGACTAGTTTCAACCATGTTTACAATTTTGCTCATTTATGCACGTTTTATTACTTTTTGTTTGCTCGTCTTAATTTTATTTAGAGATATTATAGATTTTCATACCTGGTTTGATGGAAATCAGGTATGAATTTTCTTAAAAGCATTTATCTTTCCATTTTGGTAAATGGGGTGCCTCATGGTTTCTTTAAACCCACGATAGGGGTGAATCAGGGAGATCCCTTATCACCATTTCTTTTTATATTAGCATCTGAGGCCTTCTCGAGGGGTACTAAAGCTGCAATGGATATTGGCCATATTAAACCATACTGGATGGGAAAGGAGGGTTTCCCTAGCTATCTCCCATTTGAGCTTTGCTGACGATTTACTTGTTTTTCTCAATGGAGATTCAAGATCTATTATGCCCTTTAACAGATTTTTATGCTATATATTATCAAAAGGCTACTGAGCAAATATTGAACTTGCATAAAATTACGTTGGTTACCTCCAAGCTCTCAAGAGCCAGAATAAAGAGGATGGAAGATCGATTTGCTGGGGATGAATCACTTTGCTTTGCCTATGAAATATTTGGGCTCCTACCTACACAAAGGAATAAACAAGTATAATTTTTGTGAAGAAATTATTAAAAAGTTTGACCACTAACGTTCTACCTGGAAGCAGAAGAATCTAAGCCAAGGGGAGGCTTATTCTTATCAAACATGTACTAAATACTATCCCTCTCCCTTTTATGGCTATTGACTTATTCCCTAAGATTGCTGAAAATCTTCTCATATTTAATTATGTTATTTAGCCCTCTATTTGCCCCTCTTGTAGAAAGCATTCAGAATCCATTGAACACATCTTTTACTTCTGCCACAAAATAAAAGAAATTTGGTTCTACTTTATGGGTATTTTGGGCATCCCTGGACTTAAAGAATTCAATTCTTTAAGGGGGGTGCTTATTAGTTGGTGGCCGGGGGCTAATAATTCTTCTATTTTGGATATTTTCTAACTCAATATGATACGAACTCAATAGAGATAGATACGTTTTTTTTTTGTTTTGAATAATGTTCTGGAAATTTCTGAATATCCACAGAACAAAATATGGCAGATTTGTATTCTTTTTTTTTCCTTTATATGGAAGAAGACGGAATTTCGAGAACGTAAGAATGAATCGGATGTTTCGCCACACTAAAGGATTAGTGATAAGAAACTAAGAAAATAAACCACTAGTAAACAACCCATCATTTACCCGTGGAGGAGAAGCCCCTCATAAAACTCAAGGAGCAGAATAATATTTGCTGAGCAAATATTCCCAGAAGCAATTCTGTAGTTTTTTTTTTAAAATTCAATCAAGACTGCCTATCCACAAGCCAAAGGGTCCATATATATATACGGTCATCCCTTTTATTTAGGCTAGCTAAAACCAACTAACTAATTGATCTACTCTATAGGGATTTATCCCAATTATTCAGAGATAAAACTGGCTGACTAACTGATGCTAAAATAAAGGAACTTTGAAAACAACTCCTGGAGATTTATTCTCTAGCTGCCGCAGCTCTCCCCAATTAATTAATGATCATTTAATTAAATTTAACTATTGGTGGTCCATCTCTTCTCCCATAAATATTAATTATGTGGCCCCGTCAGCAGATTGAATCCTTAGCAGATTAACCACATTCTCTTCTCGGTCTGGACTTGATTCAGAAAGACTCTTGCCATTAAAAAGAACACGTATTAGTCCGCCCAATGCCTCTTGTAATGCCTTAGCT